GATGTTGGTTATGGAGGTTCTGCAAATTTCAGATGTCGTTAATTGCAAAATTACAATGTTTAGTGTTCTTTATCAATTACTAGTTTCCAAAATAGATGAGAGAAATGAAGACTCCGAGACTGAAAAAGACTACAACCACCTCGAGAATCTACAAATCGAAGAGCCTGAGACGGGGGTTGAGGCCAAGTGCTTGAAGCTTGCTAATGGGTACCATGAGATTCAGGACATACGCACTCAATGGTTACAAAGGGTGTTCATAGGCTATGGGCAAAGTGTGTTCAGGGGCGAGCCTGTATTCAACATAAATAATTAAAGATTTTGCTTCAAAGGATAATATGTTAATATAACGGTTCTCGAGGACAGTGGGGACGGATCCAAGGCAAAATCCACCGCCGTGGTAATATACCAAAACTGGGAGCTTTTGGTTTTGGGAGGTATAGTCTTGTTTGAGCCACCAGCGAAATATTTGTCTTGGGAAGCCATGCTCGAGGCAACATTCATTCGTCGACACAAGAACTTGGGGTGAACGGATGAGCCTCTCGAGGTGCCATCTTTGTATAATTTAAAGATCGGAGAGACGTAGGTAAGAACCTCTTTGGTGGTGTTAGAAGTCATGCAGTGTGGTTGATAGAGAGAGAGAATCAATAGATAATGTTAGGCCCCTATTTGTCTTCATTTCTTTTAAATCTCTTTTTTCTATATACTCATTTTCATTTATATATTCGCTCAAAAAAAAATTTTACACATAAACCAAAAATTTTTCCCTACTTTTTAACCCACATTCTCAAAAAATTCATTATTCACTACAATGTTTTTTTCGAAAAAAGGACCACCAAATAGGGGCTAGATTTGTGCACTTAACATTTGTCAATGTCAACTATATATGCCAAAATATTGGTGTAAAACTTGACTTGCGCTATTGAATTGTTTTGTATTTTTATAGTTAAATTGTTTTATTCCAAATCCTACATAATTGAAAGAAAAATCTAGGGCCCACAAAGGTTGCATTGTAAACGATGAATTCCGAGCATTTATGTTTTGTTTTGCCTTTATGAATGCTATCGATGAGTTAAATTGAATAGGTTTAATGCTATCTCATCTTCAATTAAACAAATAGACTGAAACTGTTGTTATTCTAAATTTCTACCAAGTCTTGGCAAAATAAAATAGATATTAATTATTCAAAGAGAAAAGCACCATCATACTATTTCTATCAAATTTTTTTTTTTTTGTCACTTTTTAAAAATAAGTCATTTTTATTTCTAAATTTTTTCACTTTTTCTACTTCGTGTCACTTTTTGAATTTGTCAATTTTTTTAAATTGTTGTCATTCATTTTATTCTCTTTTTAATCTTTCGTCACTTTTTTTCTTTTTGGAATTTGTATCACTTTTTTGAGTGTATATCACATTTTTTAAGTTTTCTCACATTTTTTTTTTTTAATTTCTATCACTTTTTTTGAATGATTGTTAATTTTTTTTTTTAAAAAAAAAGAAAAATTCTGTCACTTTCTTAAAGCATGTATTCTTTCTTAGCTCATTTGAATTTCATTTGAATTGTATTTTTTTTCCTTTCTTTTTGTAGGATTGAGATTTAATAATCCCCAACAATACTAGTTCAAATTAAAAGGTCATAGGCGATTAATTTGTAATAGAACAATATATAATATTTGGCTCAGGCTCGGTCCAAGCCTCAGGCTCAAGACGTAGGGATCCTAATTTTTGCCCGAATTTTTTCTTTCTTTTTTCAAAACAAGGTCAGTCGGCCCAAAACTAATTATCCAACAACTAAACAATAGCCTACAATCCATTTACCCTTAATCTATTTACCCAACCCAACTTATATGTCCAATATCCATGATCCGTTTACCCAAAATTCCCAAATCTGAAATTCAATCTCAGGGCTGCTTTTCGGTTGATGTCTCATCTCTGCAGTCCAGTCACTCCGCTAGTCCCCCTCTACTGGGGTTTGAATTTTTATTAGATTGAGAATTTTAGAACAAAGTAAATTAGAGAATCAAGTGTTGCTATAGCTCTTGGTACTCGTTGATATTGGGCATCGATTGTCAGAATGGAACTGCAATTCTTTTGGAATTTTGAGGGGTTTCATAAATTTGATTTTCGATTGATAAAAGTTTTTGGTTCCTATTACGGTATTACCCCATCCAAGTTAACATTTTCAAGCTCTTAAAGTATAGCAGAAGCCGGAATGGAAGATTAGATTGGATCGAGTATTTCAAGAATTTATTAAAGCTAATAGCTCATTTGTAAGTTGTCACGTTTAATTAAACTTGAAAAATGTAAATCATTAGCATCAATATGAACTTTTTTTTAATAATAGATAACTTAGCTATTTAAATAATTACTGCTTAATGACTATTGATTTGTATAGTTAGAAAATCCATTTTGCATCAGTGAATGAATTTGATAACTTAATTGAAGGAATTGATTTGGATAACTTAATTATTTTGAGTAAATTTCTTCAAACCGAATCCATCGATATTGATCATGCTATCGACCTCTTGCAAAGACTTGTTTCATTTCTTCAAGATTATAGAGAAATTGGATTTGCTACTACAATGGACGAAGCGACAAAAAGGCAAGCGAATGGGAATTGAAGCTGTATTTACAGAAAACGCACAATTCGAAGAAAAAGGCAATATGATGAAAGCAGAAGTGCTGAGGTAAAGCAAGCAGCGAAAGAATATTTCAGAGTTGAGTTCTTTGTTTTTATAATTGATCGAGCTCTATCTTTTCTGAGGAGTCAATTTGAACAATTCAAACAATATAATGACACATTTGGATTTTTATTTAAATTTGAAGAGTTCCATGGTGCAACTTTTTTAAGTTTGTTGAACTTTTGTATGAATCTTGAGAAATATCTTGAGCATAATGGGCATTCGGATATCAGTGAATATAATTTATGTTCGAAGTTATAAGTCTTGAGGTGTTATATGCCAAGTGAAGTAACAAGAGAAATTTAAGTGCTACAATATTTGAAGACATTGAATGTTTGTTCCCCAAATGCTTATATTGGTTACATAATTTTTTAAAGGTCGTTCGAGCTTTTATGGCACGGGTTACTTCAGCGCCGTAGCGCCTGGTGCTCGAACATTGGCTCCCCTTTCCGCCCGACTCTTTGGTCTTAAGAATGCTGGCTTTAAGAATGAGTGATTGCCCTTTTCGATTTTTATTTGTATAGTTAAAATGGATGTACCTATCCCAATAATCTATAATGGAATATGAATAACTCCCTGTTCACTCGGCTACTGGACTTTCGCCATCTAAGGTGCAGCATTGTTGACCATATTGGTCACAGTTGCATCTGTAGAAAGAAGTTTATCAAAATTGAAGTTGATCAAGACCTATCTCCGATCAACTATCAAGACCTATCTCCGATCAACTATGTCATAAGAAAGATTAAATGGGTTGACTATGTTATCAATAGAGAATGAAATGTTTGATCAGCTAAATTATTCAGATTTGATTGATATTTTTGCTTCTAAGACATCAATGCGAATAGTATTTAACTAATTGTTTAAAACATTGTTGGTTTTGTAAGTTTATAATATAAATATCTTCTATAATATATTTGGTTGTTATTTTAATGTTAGTTTTAAGTTTGCAATAAGTCGCATAATACACTCTTGAATTTTGCATTTACGTTGATTTCACTGAGAGGCATAATTTATGGACTCACCTCAAGCCCTACAATCACAGGACCGGCTCTGATTTGGCTAAACTTTTTATTTGCCTATAAAGAATTTCTTTATCTAATATTTAGATGTTACTTTTATTTTTTATTTGTGTAAATGTGAGTTAAGGTTTCACGATAGAGAAATAATTAAGGTTCTTATATAAAGTGGCATGTGTCACTTTTTGTATTAAAAAGTGACATTTTTTAATTTGAAAACTTTGAAAAGATCAACATCTAGAAGCCGGCCCGATACATTCCATATGCACATTGATTAATCATTTTATGTAGATTAACTAGTGATGTTATATTTTATTTAATAATTGTTAATTATGCAATAGGTATAAGTAGATATCAATGTAATATATTTTTGTCTGTCAATATTGGACGTAATTAATACGAAGTTTGATTGATTATATTATTTTAACATGATACATTAGGATATTAGTCTTCCATTTTCAAAAGCTTTAAAAATCAATTTCCACGAAATTTAAGGTTTTTAAAAGCAATCAGCCGGAGAGTTTGTCTCGATTTGTTGGTGTTGTAGAAAGAAGAAAAATATATTTGAAAGGGCTGGGAAAATACTAAGTCCTTCCTCCTTTTCTTGCACATTATCCGAGTCCTAGTCAATTTGGATAATAACATGTATATCATGATTTATAATTAAAATGAATCATCATTGGGTGATGAAAACCACTATTTTTTTTTTCATCCAAATGACATTTCATCATTGGCTGATGAAAAAAGCTTTTCTTTTCTTTTTTCTTTTTTTTTTTCACCCCGCCAATACTGTGGCAAAGATGTTGATTTATAAATAAAATGAATGAGTGATAATACTTGAGTAATAATAATCAATCTATATAATGACTTGAGGTTCGTCTTTTAAGGTTCAAAATAACTTCTAAATAATTACACAAACATAAAATAATCCGTATATTCAAGCATATGATGATGTCTCCAAACAAGCCCAAGCATTGCCAAATGCCTCTTCGCAACGTATTCTAGATAAGAACTATTTCTTAAATGAAAGAGTTGGTCGACTATCGGAAATTGGTTCTGTAAGTCAAGAGTTTCTTAATACTAAAGCATAGCAATTCTAGCTATGAGTTCACAGATATGGCTTGCTTTCACTTTCCTAAATCTGATAAACCTTTTGGCTATGGTTAAATCCCAGAATCATTGGTGTCTGAACAATGGTAATTACACGAGTAATGACATGTACGAGAAAAATCTCAATACCCTCCTCTCCTCTCTCTCTTCTTTAATTGATGGCAATGGATTTTACAGTGCCTCAAATGGAGAAAATTCCGATAGAGTAAATGCAATGGCACTCTGCAGAGGAGACGTTCAGCTTGATAAATGTCGTAGCTGTATCAATAATGCTACGGAAGCCCTCTTACAGTCCTGTACTTTCCAAAAACAAGCGATGTTTTGGGCAGAGGATGGAGATTGCATGGTACGCTACTCCGATGAGTCAATATTTGGAAAACTTGCAACATACACCCGCAACGCGTGGTCTATAACATTGAAATCCCCAAGTCCAAAAGAGTTCAACACGGATTTGAGAACATTGTTGGATAATCTCAGCACACAGGCTGCTTATGGTGGCGCTCTCAAGAAGTTTGCTGCTGCCAATGCGACTGTTCCGGATTTTTTGACACTTTATGGACTAGTACAGTGCACTCCTGATTTAAGCTCAGCTGATTGTAGTGATTGCTTAATCCAGGCTTCTAAGATTATACCACAATGTTGTAATGGGAATCAAGGATTCGTAGTATATTGCCCCAACTGCATTCTTCGCTACGAAATCTATTTGTTTTATGATGCTACTTCTCTGTCTGCACCACCACCACCACTGCCGCCCCCACTACGAACACCACAAGGTGAGAAAATGCGTTGACTTCTTTATATGCTATGTGTGCAATTCACTCATCACTATACAGTTAAGAATGGTTTTTTAATCTTATCAAATGTCGTTAATGGCATGTTTGGACACTATTGAATAATATTAAAGAAGAAAAAACTGTTCATTATACTATCTAATCCTTCCAAAACTTTCCTAGAAGAATGTTAGATTTGATCAAACAAACATAAAAAATCGAATCAATAATCTTAAAGATATATTGACGCGATTTTATTCTGAATATTGCAGGAAAGGCCAAATATACAACTCAAACTATCATTATTATTATTGTTCCAATTATTTTGGGTCTAATAGTTGCTCTTTGCATTGGTATCTTCAAAAGGTTTAGACAAAATCAAAAAGCAAAGGAAAAACTTGAAAGTAAGCTTAATATTCTTTAGATATATCTACTCTTCTCCGTGCATAAAACCTTTATTCAGTTACAATTAACCTTAAATGCTGTTTTTATACGTTTTTTCAAGCTCAAAATGAAATTAGAACTGTCGAATCCCTGTACTATGACTTCAACATAATTAGAGCTGCAACAAACAATTTCTCCAATGCTAACAAGCTTGGGCAAGGTGGATTTGGCATTGTTTACAAGGTACGTAATTATTAAAGTATTGTTGCAATATATATGAGTAGAACGTTTCTATGTAATAAAATAACTCAAATATCCGTTTAGAGTATTGGTCCAAAGTATTCACTGATGAGGAGTTTCAATAATATTTTACTTGTTAAAATTTAATTTCAGGGAAAACTAGTAAGTGGACAAGAAATAGCTGTGAAAAGGTTGTCCATGAATTCGAGGCAAGGTGATCTCGAATTTAAGAATGAGGTCTTGTTAGTGGCAAGTCTTCAACACAGGAATCTAGTAAAGCTCTTAGGTTTCTCTTTAAAAGGAAACGAGCGGCTTCTTATATATGAATTTGTCGAGAATGGAAGTCTTGACCATTTCTTATTTGGTAATAGTCTATTTGAATTAAATACAACAAATTGCTTATACATGTAATTGCTAGTCATTTAAAGCATAATTGTCGTCTTTGATTCCTCACAACATCATATGCCTATTTGAACTTGTAGATCCAATCAAGCGTCCAAATTTGGATTGGGATAGACGCTATGAAATCATAAGGGGCATTGCTAAGGGAGTTCTTTATCTACACGAAGACTCTCGACTCAAGATCATACACCGTGATCTCAAAGCGGGCAATATCTTATTAGATGGAAAAATTAATCCCAAAATATCAGATTTCGGCACTGCGAGGTTATTCGTCCAAGATCAAACTCATGGCAGTACTAGTAGGATAATAGGAACCTAGTAAGATTTCGTCAAAAAAGCTTGGTCTCAAAGGATTATTGTTATGCATGAAAAACAACAAAGAAGTACTGCCATGTATAATATTAAACATATTTCTATATATTTCCATATATTGGTAACTGATTATAGATCTCAAAACTCAACATTGCAGTGGATATATGGCACCTGAGTATGCATTTCATGGACAATTCTCCAGTAAATCAGATGTCTTCAGCTTTGGCGTCGTAGTTCTGGAAATCATAAGTGGTCAAAAAGCGAATAGTTTCCAAAATGGGGAGAATGTGGAGGGCCTCCTAAGCTGCGTAAGTAAAATAAGTCCCGTTCATCATTTTGAAGAAAGCAATGATAATTTTGAATATTTTATTTTTAAAAGTGTCAAATTCTCATAGGCTTGGAAAAATTGGCAAGAAGGAACAGCAGCAAATGTAATAGACCCTACATTGAGGACTTCTTCACGATCCTTGCAAGACATTATGCGATGCATTCATATTGGTTTGTTATGTGTTCAAGAAGATGCAGTTAACAGACCTACAACGACGTCAATAATTCTTATGCTCACTAGCCTTTCTACAGCACTACCAATACCTTCAAAACCTGCTTTTTTTGTGTCTAGTAGCTTTGATCCGAAAATTTCGGTTCTTCGAGACCTCAAATCAATATCATCACAAATCAAAGAATCATCAAATAGACAGTCATCTAATTCTGCTTGTTTGTCAATAAATGATGCTACAATGAGTGACTTATATCCGCGATAATGTCCAAGAATACGCATATTCATCATTGTAAAACACTCTATATTTTGTCTTTACTAATAAATTGGATTTATCTTGTAAGTACACTTGCTCATTTTGCTGGATATATAATATTATGGCTCGATGCTTAGAAATAATATATATATATATATATATATATATATATATAAAACAAACCACAAAAATAAAATACGCAGGACGAATATGGTAAAACCAAGGCTAGATTTTGACTTTACCTTTTAAGACGAATATATTTTGTCCAGATACTTACGGTATGTTAGCAATCGTCTTTCAAGATACAACAACCTTCTTGTTTAGGAGCAGCTCAAGTAACAAGAATGATGAACTCGAAAAATATGTTATGTACCTCTAAATGAAAAGAAATTTTTGTGTAGAAATCTTTGAAAAGGAATGAATATAATATTTGTGTAGAAATTTTTGTGTAGCCATGTCTTTACATAGAAAACCACTTGAGCCTTCAACAGGCCCTCATCCAGCACCTCAATTCTACTTGAGTGCTGATTGGAATTCTATATATATATATATATATAACCTTTGGGACCCAAGTCCATGTCTCAAGGATGAGATTAATAAACAAGTCATAGTGCCCTTTTTCCTATGTAGTACAAAGTTTAAACATCGTTCCTTTTTTATTTAATTTCTTCATTTCAACATCCTTACTTTAAGCATTGTTTTTTTATTCATTCAAAAATGGTTTTATGAATTCAAATATACCCCGATCATCTACTCATGGAGTAGAATGCGTTTGACTATTCATCCACATGAATTGATTAATGAAATCTATCCGAATATTTGGTCAAAAATGATTTAAAAATCAAACTAATTATAAACCGATTTCCAACGATCTCTCAAGCGAATGGAAATTACCAAAAAATACAAATGATAATGCTGTCGAAAACAATTCCATTAGGAGAGGTAACTTCTAACATTGAACATTCTTTAGTGAAATACTATCAAATTTACTTGGCAAATCAATAAAGATGATGTCATATACAATATAATCGCATGATGTCATATACAATACAATCATTAGTGTAAACCAAGACAACAGTACTCACATGATATCTTTCCTAACACTTTTGGTTCTCATGGTTGTGTCCATTTTAATCTTGAACAACTCTTGGGTTTCATAAGTACTTTAGAGAATTCCAGTCTCAGAAATTCTCTTAGAAGTGCCTCATTTCAAGATGATCTTGTGTTAAGAGTATTTTGTTAGACTCCACTTGATTTATCCATGTTTGCAAATCATTAAAAATGAAACTTAACCTCATACATTCTATAGAAATACTTTTCATATGATAGGAATAGGTACAAGATAACTCGTATGTGCTTCATAGAATCTTCATAACTTAGTTGTCCCATTGAATCAAGATATTAGAATCTCCGTCAACAAGATTGGGTTACTATTATAAAAACTCTTACACAGTAGGTTTTACGTCCATTTATTTTTATAGACAGTAAACTTGATTTTTTTTCCAAATCCTTTGTAAGCATATTCATGAGATTCTCTTTTGATTTCATATAATCAATGGAATTAATATCTCTTGAGATCAATCAACTGCTTAATAGTATAGTGTCTACAATGTACATATCTAGACTTACAATTATACATACTACTTTGCACTCTTCCGATAACCAACTAACTATCACAATGCATGCAAATTGCAGACACATGTTTAGGTAAACATCGAATGTCCTCAAAAAAATAACGAAGCCATTCTGCTTTTCTCCAACTTTACCTAAAGCTATAAACTCTGATTTCATTGTTAATCAAGTTATACATGTTTGTTTTTAGGACTTCTAAGACAATGGTTGCACTAATAATATAAAAACACAATCAATAGTAGACTTAGAATTCTTCTTGTCTGATATCCAATTCGCATTACAATAACCTTCCAAAATTTAAGGTATAACTTATTTAAGAACCCTAATTAATGCCTTTCAATAATCGATGCTCAAATTACTAGTAAATCTACTCATTTTATTTATAGCATATGTTGTAATTGGACTAATCTAGTTTGTAATATACATTAAACTATCTATAACATGTGATATTGACTCACCTTTGTTCTTAAGTAAGTGTAGACTTGACTCAATTGAGGTTTTTATTGGACTTTCATCATATACTGTTAAGTATAGTCTCAACGAAAAGAGATTGGGATAGAACAAGTCCATTAGATATTTCTCGAGGTTTTAATCCCTAATATGATATCCGCAACACCCATATTCTTCGTGACAAAATGTTTTTTCAACATTTCTTAGTATTAATGATAATATAATGATCTGCCTATAATTAATATGTCGACAATATATGTACATACAATTACATAGGCTTTAGGTTTGGTTTTTATATTTACACATTTATCACACCCATTAATTTTAAAATCATTTGACTACATTGTTTTGTCAAATTTCTAGTGTCATTGCTTTAATGTTTTTTTTTTTTTAAATCCATACAAGGACTTACGAGTTTACATACCTTATTCTCCTATCTTGGGGAAATAAGCCCTTCGAGTTGTACCATATATATTTCTTCTTCTAACTCACCATTCAAAAATGTCGCTTTAAAGTCCATTTGATGGATCTTAATATTATATAATGTAGCAATTGCAATTAGAACTCTAACAAAAGTGATTTTTTTATGTATCAAAGAAATCAAGGCCTTCCTCTTGTTTATATACTTTAGCAACCAACCTAATCTTATATTTGTTAATGGACACATCAAGTTTTGATTTTTTCTTAAAATTCCATTTACAATCTAAATGCTTATTTCTAGTTAGGAGATCAATTAACTACCAAGCGTGACTTTGCATAATCGATTCCATCTCACTATTGATAGCTTCTTTTCAATACAGTGCTTCTGGAGTAGACATTGCCTCATTAAATGTCTCAAGATCATTTTCTACCATATACGTTAGAAAATCTAGACCAAAAGATGCAGATTTTCGGGACATTTATTGCACCTAGGTTTTTTTTCTTCACTTAGGTTTTACACTAGTTCATTTATTTAAATTTATTTTCTTTTTTATAGGGAAAGACATTTTTGAAAAATGCTGCATTTTTACATTCAATGATAGTGCCTTCATGTTTGTCCAAAATGTCTGACTTGTGAATAAGGAATCGATATGCACTACTATTATTAATATATTCAATAAATATGCAATCAATTCTTCTAGGCCCAATTTTAATGTGTTTAGGCTTTGGTACTTCAATCTCAGCCAAATACACCCACACTTTCAAGTGTTTATAGGAAGGTTTATGGTCTTTCCATTATTTATAAAGAGTTTTATCCTTTTTCTTTTGTGGTATCTTATTAAGAATAAACATTTACTGAAAGGATAGCTTCCTCGCACAAGTTCTAGGCAAGCCTAAACTTATCAACATAGCATTCATTTTCTCCTTAAATGTTTGATTTTCATATTTAGCAACACCGTCAGGCTAAGGAGAAAAAGGTGCTGTTGTTTTATTAATGATCCCTTGTAACAGAATGAAACAGAGTTTTGACTAACTTTGCCTCAACACAAATTTTGCATTTATAATTAGGATCAAATTCTAAAGAAGGCAATAAACTTAAGTTCATTAATTTATGCAAAAATTTAATGTTTGCATGTCTTAATTGATTAGACCACAAACAAGAAGTCTCAAACATATAAGTATAACTAAAATTTTTATTGTTTTATTTTAGTACAATAGTAAGGACATTCATTTTGTATATTCCATCACAAAGGTAATCCTTCCCCACATAGGAATTATTCTTAACGAGTACAAAATTTTCAAATAGAAGGACCAACTTAAAATCATTTATACTAAGCAGACCCAGATACGAGACTCTTGCAAATTGCAAGCACATCTAGCATATTGTCAAGGATGAGCTCTTTGCCGGAAGTTATCCTCAAAGTCACTTTTCATTATTCTTCAAACTTTGAACTTGCGAAATTTCAATAAATAATTGTTCTTCATCGATTTCTTTATAATTAGAGAACATCGCTTTGTCTCTACTAATAGGGTGAGTAGCACCCAGTGTCTACACACCATTCTCTAGGATTTCCAACACTGTTACATTTAGATACAAAGCAAACAAGTTCATTTCTTGTATCTCTTCAGATAATCTGTCTAGCTTTATGCCAGCATCTTCGTTTTGTACTTTTCTCCAAGGACTTTCAATGTTCTTTTTGTTGATTTCGTAGCACATAAGATGATACTGACAGAAAGCGAATATTAATATTAAGATAACAAAAGATCTCAGCATACCAAACTTATACGGCTTGAAGTTAACTTTTATCGCCTTTTCACTTTTTCCAAGATCACATTTGTGCGCCAAATCACAACTATTGAGCACTACTATTTCAAATAATTATTAAAATTTATTTGCCAAAAGCAAAATCATGAAATTAGAAAAATAAATCAATTACTTCCCTTTCTCCAAGTGCGATTATTACATGAAGCAAACAAGTAAATTTAACTTCAATCATAAGTAAAAACTTTTAAGTAGAGGCGTATGTAGATATTAACACAAGCTTCTCTAATCACACTAATATGTCCAAACCGATGGAAACTAGCAATCACTTAAAATCAGAAACACAAAATCGGAATGTAAATGGAACCATACAAATTCACATAACATGCGGGTATAGTGTGTAAGAATCAAGAAAACAGGAGTGAACACTAGATTAAGATCATGACATAGCCACAAACCCCCACCCCTCAAAGCGAAACTACAAGAGTAAGCATGAGAAATCCAACTTTACTTGAGGCTGCTACATCAAGGGTTCGAATCTTGAAATATAGATTTGGCTCTTGGGTAAGTGCAAGTGTACAAACAGCCTTCCACCCTGTACCCTTGGAGGCATAACCTGCGATTTACCTCCCTCACGATGCTCCAGGGCAGAGGTGGTAGGGGACCCTTAAGGTTAGAGTTTAACCTTTGAAACTACAAGAGTAAGCATGAATTGAGTCAATAACCAGCAAAACCACAAATTTGTTCATTTAACAAACTCAAACTTATATATGCTCAAATCTCAACCAGTCATTTCCAAAATTAATTCACTATGATATCCACTTCACCCAAATAACCACACGTATATACAGAATAAATGCAAGTCTACCAAAAGGAAAAACAAAAAATGCTTATTAAAGCAAAACGAGTTCTACGTGCACTAATATAAACTTTATTAAACGAACAGTGATTACCAAACAATATTGCACAAAATGTAGATGCAAATACGTATTATAAAGTATTTAGACCTGTTTGTTGACTTCAACATCTGTGGCATGGTTTGTGAAGTTCCAGACGCGGCTGGTGTGGCCATGGTAGAACTTGTGGGGCATGCCCTTGTGAATTGACCCGGTCACCTTGACATCGACATAGTCTCCACAATTAGATGGAGAGAGGAGTCGGGCCCTTCTTCCTGAAGACCTCGAGAAAAGATCCCGAGTCCTCGACTTCAGTCCAAGTCCAGCAGGCATATCTGCGTTTCACTCTCTCGTTTGCCTTTGGGAGTCCCGCTTCCACGCTTCTCTAGGACTGCAAGAAACGAATAAAAAACCCTAAATCAATGATAATGCCTTGCGAATTGAAGTAGCTAGGTTTTTTGGATGGCAGGGACCCAAAGCCTTTTTGGGCTTTTCTCTATTTTTAGTTTGTCTTGCTTGGTTTGGATTTCTAAGAGCGAAAATTTCATATCAGACCATAAGTATGATTCATTTCAAAACTACGACATAAAATTTAAAACTTCAAAAATTAGATATTGTTTAATTTTTATAAAATAATTAATTAAATATATATTTTATTAATTAAAATATTAAGGTCACAATCCTATAAAATTTGATCACAAATTATCGAATAATTGGTTACAAGTAATTTCTCGATCAAAAATAAAAAAAATTTATAGGTTACAAATTATTTCACGATCAGAAATAAAATATTTTATAGGTCACATTTATTCATTTGTTACAGATCAAAAAATTTATATGTCGCGATTTATTTATTGACCATAAATCACTAATTTTATAAGTCAACTTATTTCATGTTCATAGGCTATAAAATTAATTGGTCACAAATTATTTCTCAATAAAAAATTATCGAATTAGTTGATCACAACTTAACAAATTCAGATTAACAATTTCAAAATTTTAGATTGTGTATTATTTATCGACCACATATTTTTCATTGATCACAATTTCAAATTTTTAGATTGTGTATTATTTATCGACCACATATTTTTCATTGATCACAAAATAAACAATTTATTGATCACAATCTCAAATAATTGATCACCAGACAATCTTAATCTCATTATCAACCCCACCATAACACCACCAAAACACCAACACCAACACCAACACCTCCACCACTAGATCCGATACCATTCCAAAACCTTAACACGAAAACATGGAAACAACCACTACCGCCAGTTAAATTGACTCACTATAACATCGTCGACCACTACTTCGTCGCCAACACCACCAACAACAACAACAAAAAACCCCCATAACCCCCAACAACACCAAAACATGGAAACAACCACCACCAATCCAACAAAAAAACACTACCTGTTGGGAAATTAAATTCACCACCGGGGTTGGAGAAGAAACAATGCAGAAAATTAATCAAGAGGATGAAAAAACGAATCAAGATCATGATGAAAATGGAAGGTTCAAACACGATGTTACATCGTTGTCCTCAAACGATATTTGCCCCTCTTGATATTAATGTTGGTGCTTAAAGGGTCTGGAAGCAAACGATTTGAAGGATTGATCAAGCCTTGATGTAGATAAACACAAAAGCACAAGCATTTATCCACCCGAACTTGAAGAACATAAAGGGAATATATGAATGTGGAGGAAGAAATGATTTTTCTTTCTTGTGGAATGACGACAGATTACCATATATTTTGTAATCTGATTTCCATGTGTTTTTTATGTCCAACAAACACATATTTATAGCCATGGATCATAGCTTCACGAAATGGTGCCAAAACAAGTTGAAAAGTGGCAACTTTTAATCCAAAACAACTCCCAAGTTTCAAATTGAAAAATCAGCCAACGACTATTTTTTAACACTATGCGTACACATAGTATAAACCGTGCGTACGCATAGTAGAAGCAAAATCAATTCTAATTTTGAAAAAGCACTTCTCGCGTACGCACAAAAATAAGCCTGTGCGTCCGCATAGGCAAAAATCAAATTTTTCATTTTTCAATTTCTTTTGATTCTACCAATTCCACAATTGAGTCCAACAATTATTCCATTATCATTCAATTGATTTGGAACAAATATTCAACAATCCCCCACTTGTTCAAAATCAATAAGATCACATATTCAAAAAGACGACACTTATGCATAAGGATTAGATATCTTTCGATTTGAATCTAACCATAGTATAATTCAAACAAGGTAAAGTCGGAATTAGAGGTAGCATGGAAGCTTAGAACCAATTATTCATTGTGACAATACCGGTAAGAATACACACATAAGTATCACGTGTTCTCAAGTTCCTCAACTCGCTTAGCACTTTTATGGCTTTGCGCTCATCCTATTCGACAAACTTTTAAGAGAGAAACTCCAACTCTCAATTGAGGCAGCACCACCTCGAAGTTTGTTTAGGCGAAGTTCTTCCAGTACCTTTGTTATTTTTAGAGGTACTTGTGTTTTAACACTGAGCTTCATTAAGAGCTTTAATACTCAACCCTCACTTCAGTAACAACCAGCATTATTTAATTAGGATAAGGTTATCGTGGATTTATATAATGCTGTAACTATCCACATATCGAATGACTTGTTGTTACCCTTTGAACCCATGGATTACCTTTTGAGTAATGACGGGTAGGGTTGCTATCATTGGTGGACCTTTGTAATTTAGGAGTTTCAACCCAATCCTACTCGAAGTAGATATCACTAAAATTTTATTTAGTGGTCTAATTAAAGGATCTGCTACGTCTTTACAGAAATTATTCCATCTTTGCTAATTTCCTTTTTAAGTCACGTCTAAGACTTATAAGTCTTGACTTTTCATTTTATGTTACTTAGTATCTTATCAAAGTATAGCTAGCCAACGATCGATTCATTTGATAGATACAATTTGTCACCACCAAGAAGCCACATGCTCCTCATTCGCTTTATTTAAAGCCTTATTATTACTATTATTATTATTATTTTTTTTTTAAAAAACACTTGTTGGATGATTTCCATTAATTTATTACACTAGTCCATCACTTCTATTTGTGGATTTTCATACTTGGATATTCACTTATCATCATTGAATCATTACAATGGTCTTCAATGAATATTCTTTAAATATTTCATTGATTTTGCAAGCGCCACAATTAACCTTTATCCATTTAATCCGCTTTTAGACTTAGTGTGTTTCAACCTTACAAGGCCTTCTCTACCTTTCTCCATCATAGATGTATTTCTATGATTAAAAGGTAAAGGATACAGTAACTTTTTAAACTAAATTACCTCCACATTTCCTCAATTAGGAATTCTTATACAATCTTATAATGTTGTATCCATATATTTTTGAACTTCTTCATATAAGTTCATAAGATTAAGGTTAACCCCCACATTTCGGGTTATACTCGAACTTAGAGTTCCTTAATATGTCAACCCCCACATTCGGGATTGTAATTAAATTTAGAGTTCATCAATATATTAACCCCCACATTTGGGATTTTACTTGAACTTTAACTCAATTTCCTTATCACTTCAATAATAACCGTGAAAGTCTACATACTTTCAGATAGTTGTCATTAATTCAAAATGTACTTCAATCCACTATTTAATTTTGATCATACAATTTTGATCAAGGTCATCTCATAGACCTACCATAATTGAAGTCCAATTCAACAATGAATGAGACTAATCTCCAATCATTGGCATTTTATCACTTTCGTGACCTTCACAAGATAGCATCATATCACCTCAATGACATGGTACATATTCGCCTTACTCACTTTTGGACAAATCACATTTTGTCTCTTTTATATGCAAACACGATTTTGCATAAGATTATCTCACTTAATTTGTGGCTATCAACATTTCAATAGAACATGAAATCGATCATCAAGTTTATCAAGTAATTTTAATTTTCTAGTAGAGAAATCGTCACAAAAGTTCACATAAAATTCTAATACTACAGAATTTTTCCATATATGCAATATTATGATTTTCATTTCAGTAATTATGCAGTCAAAAACTTCAAACCTTTAACTATATGGGTGAACGCCAAAATTATGCATCCTCAAGTGAACACGTGTGAATTAATTTATTTCCAAGTAAGGAACACACTTTTCTTTCATGCACGTATATTTGTCAAAGTTAAATAAATAATTGCACGTACCAACTAGGCCATTGGGATCTGCAGCATAATTTTCACATGTAAACTGACATATGCCTTCAAATAAAGCTGTGAATAAATTGAACATGCAACTTCCCATATAGGTAGTGCAGAATCAAATGGAACCTATCCATATTTGTACATAAATATATTCGGCATATATTTCTTTCTTCAAAGTGTAGAGATATGTGCATCTTTCACACTCAATTTGCAGTAAATTATTAAAGTTGATCATAAATCACATAATCAATTCTCATGCCATAAAATTGAAAATAGAATATCTCATAATATTCTACACAATTTTCCACAATTAAGAGGCTTAATTAACAAAATTTTCACTTTGGACAGAATCACATAATTCTTTCAATTTTCATGTTCAAAATCAGTCACCAAACATCAAGAACAACTACTTCACAAACTGCCTTTCATCGGACAGTAGTCAAATATAGAATGATGCGTGGCTTCTTTAACCCCTCATGTTGGCATACCCTCCTCGGTAATTTAATACATTCAAACACATAATATTTTGCCATAATTAGTGAGGGAACAAGAGGTTATTAGGATGATATATGTATAAATTGAAAATAAGGGATGCCTCAAAGTAGCCTCAATGATTTTTCAAAGTAATGTCTAATTATTCATCACCATTTGATGAACACAAATCTGAAATGACATATTCCATCTACTTCTGACATTTGTCTTTTAATTTACCAAATAAATGCCAGTATCACAGGAGGCATAAATGATCAGACAGTGCAAAATTAAATGGAAGTGAGCACTAACCGACGCCTCCTTTTATAAGTAAATCTCCGTGGTGGCAAATGACATGTAGGCATCAGACTTTTGAGGCAATTTTTTAACATAAAGAAATGCAATGGTTGGCATATCCAATATCCATACTAATGCCCACACAGATAACCACAGACAAACAAATTCATGCTACATGATTCCAAAATTAATCTCACTATAGAAATTAATAACTGTGTTTAATTCATAGAATTTGATCATCACTTATTCTGGGTTATCAAATGGCAACATAAATGCCAGATTTTATTTTCGCTTTTCGGTGCGAACATAATAGAATTTCGGATTGTATTCAAAGATGAATGGACACCATTTAATACACTA